ACACACACAGACACACAGACACACACAGACACACAGACACACAGTCTGGACTATATCAGAGCAGTTTTACTCATTTTTAAATATCTAGTTCAGTATCAACTCCTTGAGATACTGATACTCCCCAGGCCCCACCCACTCAGGGTTCGGTGCCCCCAGTGAAGCTGTGGCACCTTCGTAAGAGCATCTATCTCACTGGACACTGTTAACTGTTCTCTCCCACTGACCCATGAGACACTTGAAGGCAAGGCTGGACCTTTTATCTTTAAACCCCAGCACCTGATGTAGAGTAGTATTTGATGATGAATGAATAAATACATTAATTTATGAAATGCAATTTAATGAGGTCTAAATGTGGTTTAATAACAAATTATTAACAATATTCTGATCCATAGTAATTTGTAAATTTGTGAACTTCAATCATTTCATCTATATCAGAATTTCTTTTCATGGGAGGCAATAAAAGTAAAATCCTTATTGTTGTTCAAGTAATTGGATGCTTACACTGTTCGGACTGAAGACAGTAGTCAAGCCCGAACTTCTTATTTTCCAAACATTAAAAAATAAGTGGTATTTTTAAAAATGGTTGATGAAAATACTTTCCCATGGTTCAATTTTTCACCTAACTAATTAGTTTGATGTCTATAGATGACCCACTCCATCGACTTCATGGAATGGCTCCTAATTTTAATATTCTAAATTGTAATCATTGGTATCAATCCCCTGGGCAAGAGGGGATGATGGGTGAGAGTGAAGAAGGAACACATCCCAAATCATGTCCTTCTCTATCATTTGATTTATATTGAGATAGAATAACTGGGAAATTTGAAACTATGACTTATCCCCAATGTCCCCAAGATTGCCCTATTGGTCGTTCTACAATCCTCCACACGTATCCTGTTCAGTCCCACTTCTATATCATCATCCATGTTTTTTCTATTCCTCTCTTCTCCATCAAGCCAAAGTCTGAAAGCCCAGCTCAATCTAACCTCTCTGACTTCTTAATCTTTCAGAGCCTCCTCTGGCTTCTGAACTGAGTGCAGTTGTTCCCAACATAGAGAACGGAGGGCTCTTATTCATTAATTCAACTAGTATTTATTGAACATCTACCGTGTGCCAGGTACCAGTTTAGGTGGTTGGAATATGCTGGTAAATATCATGGATAAAGCTCCCTGCCCTTGGTTCTGCTCTAGTAGTTAATATGTATTGATCAGTTGTGCCAGACTCCGTACTAGGACATTTTTTTTTTTTTTTTTTGAGCTGGGAGACAGCACCGCCAGCTTTACTAGTGATTTGCAGTTTTGTTTTGTTTTTTTTGGTTGCTCCGTGCGGCATGTGGGATCTTAGTTCCCTGACCAGGGATCGAACCCTTGCCCCCTGCAGTGGAAGCTCAGAGTCTTAACCACTGAACCTCCGGGGAAGTCCCCTAGGACATTTTTTATATGCATTGATTCATTTACTGCTCTCCAAAGCTTATGAACTGGGTGCCTTTTTATCTGTGCTATGCAGATGAGGAAACAATTTAGAGAGATTAAATCATGGGTCAAGACCACGCATAATGGTAGAATAGCGACTTGTAACCTGGTCTTTCTAATACCAACCATATTCTAAACCAGGGATTGGCAAACATTTTCTGTAAAGGACTAGATTGTGAATAGTTTAGGCTGTGTGGGTCTGTGTCACAACTATTCCACTCTATCACTGTAACACAAAAGCAGCCATCGGCAATAGATAGATGAATGAGCATGGCTGTATCCAGATAAAACCTTATTTATAAACACTGAAATTTGAATTTCCTATGACTTCTCCCATGTCACAAAATATTATCCTTCTTTTGATTTTTTTCAGCCATTAAAAAATTTAAAAACCATTCTTCATGGTACAAAACAGGAGGCAATCCAGAGTTGGCTCACAGATATGCCAACCCCTGACCTAAACCAGGCCCTCCCTATAACCCTTATCTCTACTCCCTGAGGCAGCTTTGGAACCAGCCCAACTTCCCAATAAACAAGATCTGTTCAAGTTGTTTTGCGTTTTGATCTCAGTGGGACATCATCATATAAAAATGGGGCAGATGGGACACACGCTTCAAAGAGAAGTCATTTCCCTGTTGGTGAGTGGTTGCCTGGGGACACACAAAGTCAAGTCAACCCCATGTATTGGTTGAGAGCACAGGCTCTGGAAACAGCCTGCCAGTGTAAATCCTGGGTCTGCAGGGTGCATATGGGCAGTTATTTAGTCTCCTTGTGCTGCTGTTTTCTCATCGATAACATGGGAATAGTAATGGTACTTACCTGATAGGGTTATTATGAGGCCTAATTGAGTTGATAGATATTAAACACTTGGAACAATACTTGGCACAAGGTGAACTCAATAAATGTTAGCTTGCATTTTCAAATTAATTCGAAGAGGTCTTAGGAAGAGAATTGAAATAGGAGAAAAAGGGCCTAAGTTTTAGAGTTGGGCAGTTATACATTTGAATTTCAGTTTCACACATGATGACTTTGAAACCTTTGCGTTAGCTATATATATTTGTGAACTTCTATATCCCTACCTGAAAGAGAGGAAAAACTAGTAACTATGCCATGGAGTTTTTGCAAGGATTAGATGACATGTCAAATGTGAAGTTCCTGGCATGCAGGAAGCCATCAAAAAATAGTCATTATTTTCCCAGGCCCTTTCCTTTGAGAAAAGAGAAAATAAAACCTAGGAGAGTTTATGGTGCAGGTATTGACTCAATCTATAAATAAGATATTTCTAAGAATGGTATTTTAAACTTTGTTTTCTCCCATTGATATTTCTTGTATTTTTTTAACCCAGATCATCCAAGAAGCTGAAGCCACTTACTAAAAAAGTCTATTTTTATGAGAAATCGATATGGCTATTTGTTCCAAGAGTACAAGCAGTAAAGTTTAAATGAACTCAGAATCTAACATTTTAATGTGCATATATTGCAGCTATATTTAAGTCGAAGCTAAATGTGGTGTTCATTTACATTTTATGTAAGGCGTTAAACCTGACCTTTTAAATTCTATTAATTATAATAGTAAAAATAAGCATTTAGCTTATCTGACCAATGAAGCAAGAATTTCCATACACAGAACTTCCATTTCAATATAATGATATATGTGAATATGCTACATACCTCTTTTATAAGACTTAATTTTTGCCCAGATAAGTCACTTGATAGGTTTGTTGTGATTGCTTTCTGCCTGTGCTTATTAAAATGCTTGTGTCTCTTTGATGACAAAAAGTAAATTACTGATGTTTGTTTTTGTTGTGCCCAGTTGCTGTGACCCCTTACGGTTATGCGTCCAAGTTTGAGATCCACTTTGATGATAAGTTTGATGTGTCTTTCGGGAGAGAAGGCGAGACGTTGAGTCTAGGCTGCCGTGTAGTTATCACTCCTGAAATTAAACATTTCCAGCCGGAGATCCAGTGGTACCGAAATGGTGAGCCTTACTAATGAATTCTCACTAGGTTCTTATTTGCAGAAGGTCACAGCCCAGGCTTGGCCCCAGAGCATGAATGTCCATAAGACTGCAGTTCTCTTTATCAGAGCTGGCAGAATCTGAACGTTAGAGGACATAACCTTTTGGATGTTACAAAAGCTTTTACACATGTATCAGAGTAGCAGAACTTTCGCAATATATTTGTGGAGATTATAATTTCTTATCACCAAGTAATATAGGGAAAGGATTACAAAAAATTGTATTCTCATTTTGCAAGGTGGATGTATATTCATTTTGTAAGTTAATTTTATTTGGTAAAACAAAGCGGAGTCCAGTGAAGTCCAATGGGACTATGGAGCAGGCCCATTGGTCCCCAGGCACGGTGGGTGGTGGTCAGCATGCTCACCATGCAGTTGGCCTGAACTTCAGTGCATGTGTGGGCACCGGGCAGTCTGGGCCATCCCAAGACCATGGCTGAGACCAGGACCTGGGCCCAGAGTGAAACCAGTCATGGCAGCAGCAGCAGCAGCAACATTGCTGGACGGCGTGGCCCAGGAGAGGAGGGGTCCCACGTGGGGCAGTGTGGGCACCCACCGTGGGAGCCGAGATTGCCCGTCCGCCCCCAGAATGCATATTTGTGGCATCTGCACAGATATGAGCTTCCTCGCCTGAGCACCGTGACAGGAACTGCCAGCAATCACGCAGTAAACTTTGTAAGATATTATAAAATAAAAGCATGTACATAGACATTGCAGTAAGGCACATAAGGCAGTTAGTATTCTTCAGAGTTTAGACTCTCTGGTTATGAAAACTGCCACAACATTGCAAAGCAAACATTCACAGGCTTGGAAATAAAAATTAAGTTTAAAGATTGTCACATTCAATGAAAAAACACTATTTTCATACAAAACTTTGGATGAAGCAGTTATTAACAAGAAAGATAATTTTGAAATTAAATTTTCCTCATAATCAAAGATACAGTGAGAGAATGCATAAACAGGCATTTGAATTATATACAAATCATGAAGTCATTTTCAGTTTCTTGTATGACCACAAGTTACAGGACATGTAAGAGAAAACATTAGGATGCAATTATGTAAATTTACATTTAAAATTAAATTCAGACTTACATGAAACTATTTGTATAAAGAGTTAAATCTTTTTAGAAAAAATTGTTCTTCAAGAATTGTCAGCTCTGATTCACTTTGTTATAAAGCAGAAACTAACACACCATTGTAAAGCAATTATACTCCAATAAAGATGTTTAAAAAAAAAAAAGAATCGTCAGCTCTAGAGTACTAAAATTTATATTTTGAAATAGTTTATCATAAGATTAACCCAATGTTAACTTTATAGCACCATAACCATATAATACTATAACGTATAAAGCTGTATATTACTATGACTATGTAATACTCCTAACAGCTGCATTAATAGTTGCATCAGCAGAAAGATCCTTCTTAAAATAAAAAAAATCAAAACTAATTTATGATCTTGCATTTGCAAAGAGTAACTGATGTTGCTTTCAGTTATATCAATTTAAAATGAAGTTACTAAAAATAACTGAATTTGCAGAAAAGTAAGTAAAAAATATCGTATTATCAATCAACGTATCACATTAATAAAGTATTATTTTTGTATGTAAAATTATGGCATGAAAATATTAGTTTTTGCAATTTGTATTACCCTATTATGTTTTATAAGTAATAAACTATTTTTAGAGGACAAAGCCTTATATTTTAGTACCTTGACTGTGTTTTTTTCCTCTGCTTTTTGAGCAAGGAGTCTTGTAATTTCATTTTGCACTGGGCCCTGCAGATTATGTATCTGGCCCTGGTCCCCTCACTTCTGCTCTAACATTTTAACCAATATAAACATGGCAGAATGACTCAAAGCCCTACAGACGTCCTCTAATATTCAGATAGCTTTCAATATAGAAGAAGAGGAATAAAGAGAGAGAGAGAGAGAGAGAGAATTGGGGGGAGGGAAGAGTGGAGGGGAAGGAGGAAGAAGAGAGTAATAGAGAAAGAAATCAGTTAATTTGCTTACTTTTGTTCCCCAGGGGCTCCTGTTTCTCCATCAAAATGGGTGCAAACACACTGGAGTGGAGATCGGGCAACACTAACATTTTCTCATCTCAACAAGGAAGATGAAGGTCTCTACACAATCCATGTACGAATGGGAGAATATTATGAGCAATACAGCGCTTACGTCTTTGTTCGAGGTAAGACCTAGCAAAAAGCAGAACATCTGAGAATATTTAAAACACCGAGGCCATGTCAATCTATCCAAACATATTTTTGGTAAAGATGAAAGAGCCAATGTAAAAATTTAACCCTGAAGGCACCAGTTGGAATGGAAGGTGACCAGTTTCCAGACTATGTTACTGTCACTAGTGTCAGTACTTTCCTCATCTTCAATGAGCCTCTAGAGCAGTGCTCTGTAGGTGTCTGAGTAGAGAGGCTAGGTCCTAGTGATGCAAAAAGCCGTCTCAGTTTGAAGAAGCTACAATAAAAGAGTGATGGGGACTCACTCTTGAATATCTATTTTGGAGAGCAAATTTATTACTTCATTCTAGGCCTTTTCTTTATAGCTTTAGTTTTAATGAACTAGGAAACAAGATGCTACAACTGAATCCTTAAGACAAACTATAACTGTTGGTTTTAGGAGTCTTTCTTTTTTCAGCGATGTCTCTAACAGGTCAGACATGTACAAGTGGGAATGTTATTTCTACATGAGATACTAACACATCTGGAAGACGATGAACACTTCCAGGCCACAAAGGCAGTGCTCTGTGTTCTTTTACGTGGTGGTCAGTCAGGTGTGGCCACACGAGGAGACAGAGGAGGGGCTCAGGAAAAGAGTGTATTATACTCATAGGTGCTAGAGAACCACCCAGGGCCACATGGGGAAGCAAAGGCACTACTGGTTGGTCAGGAGGCAGAAGAGGCAGAGGGAGAGCTTAGACCGCAGTCTGTATTGGAGTTCCTGTGGAAAAGGCATGGCAGGGCGGGGTAAACAGTTCAGGATTGGCTGGTGTGAACAACTTCAGCAGACCCTAAGCTACAGGGGTCGTGCTTAGTTGTCTGGTCCCTGGTGCTGAGATGATTAAGGCAGAGGAATATTTCCTCCTGGGGTACACGGGCCAGATGGAGGAGGTGAGCTCTGGATGGGTTAAAATTGGCTAGCCCCCAGAGATGGGGGCAGAAAATCTCTCCCCACCCAGAAAGGCTTTTAAGATGTCAAAACGTCGCAATATACAGAAAATAAACATAAACAATACAAGTAGACTTGCTAATTTTTTATCTCTTGTGCATTAAATAGAACCATAAACTCCTAGGTGTTTTGATGAGGGTGGAAATTTAGAGGTCATGTAGGTGTCCTTAACTGGGGTCCACAGACTCCCAAGGGGTCTGTGATTATAACTGTACTTCAGTATAATTAGTTTCTTTGGTAAGCTCGTGTATTTTATTTTATTTTATGCATTTAAAAACATTGTTCTGAGAAGGGCCCTCTAGGTTTTCTTTACCACTTTGCCAAAGGAGTCTAAGGCACACAAAAATGTTAGGATTCCCCTTAATTTTTTTTTATAAATTTATTTATTTACTTATTTATTTTTTATTTTTGGCTGCATTGGGTCTTCGTTGCTGCGCGCGGGCTTTCTCTAGTTTCAGTGAGTGGGGGCTACTCTTCATTGCAGTGCACGGGCTTCTCATTGCAGTCGATTCTCTTGTTGCAGAGCATGGGCTCTAGGCACGCGGGCTTCAGTAGTTGTGCCGCACAGCCTCAGTAGTTGTGGCGCACAGGCTTATTTGCTCTGCAGCATGTGGGATCTTCCCGGACCAGGGCTCAAACCCATGTCCCCTGCATTGGCAGGCAGGTTCTTAACCACTGTGCCACCAGGGAAATTCCTCCCCTTAATTTTAAGATGCAAAAACTAAAGCTCAGGAAAGCAACATGATTTACCAAAAGCCTCACAGTTAGAAGCAGAAGTGGGACTAGGATACAGGCCTTCTGATGGCTAACCCAGGATTTTAATTAGGGAATAGGTTAAGCTGCTGAAATGAAATTTTTTTAAAAAGTTTATTTCTGTCTTATGTCCATCAATCCAGAGGTAGGAAGGTGGTCCAGGTGGTTCTGCTCAACTCAGTTATTCAGAGTCCTGGCTCCCATCTATGTTGTTGCTCCACTGCCCCCGTGGTGCTGTCCTGTGTTCCCGTTCCAGCCTGTGGGAAGGGCAGAGATGCAGGGACGCACACATCACTTCTGCATGGTGAACACTCTACCACACATCCACAGGGAGGGAAGCTGGGCAACATGTTACCTGCAGAAGCTCAGGGGTTCTGGTACTAAAAGGAAACAGGAGAAATGGATACTGGGGAGAGACAGCAGTCTATATACCACACCAGTACTGAACAATAACAAATGATCATTGAATTCTGCCACGGATTCGCAACTGATAAAGATGCACGGATATCTATGCCAGCTGATAAATGGGGCAGACTTCCTCCTGCACAAAAGCATTTGGGAAAAGTTGGATCTTGTGAGGGGAAAAGAGGGGTAGCCCTCTGGGTCAGTTGCAGTAAAAATGGACACCCTGGAAGTTATCAGCAAGTATGTTTGTTTAAACAAAGCACCCGGATAGACCTGGCCAGATGATAACTGAAAGCAAACAGAGTCTTTGCCTCTGCTCTCAGTCTGACCTGAACCAAAGAGTATCTCTGGTGACTCAAGAAACACTTAAGTTATGCCTTGAGGATTCCCTTTGTGGACTTTTTCTGGGAACTCTGACACAGTCCAGGGTTTCCTCAGCAACATTTCTCAGTGCCCACATCCAGAGTCGTGGCTCTCTGCAGGTTGAGGCCAGACTTCAGATGACCAACCACAGACAGGGGGAAGGGATTGAAATTTATCATTAAGCCAGTTTTCATATCCACAAATAAGGGAAGATTCTAAAATGTATCAGATATTGGTGTGAGAGGATTGAAAAGATTCATGGGGAAGACAAAATTGCAAAGACAAATTTCAGAAATCGAGTTGTGAATTTAACTTTTAGAAAAAGATTTCCCCTGTAAGTTTATTTTAAATGATATATTTTAGATTCTTTTAAAAAAATCTTTATTGAGATATAATTACATACCATAAGAGTCAGCCATGCTAAGTGGACAGTGCTTTTCAGAATATTCAGAGCTGTGCACCCACCATCTACAATCCAGCTTAGTACATCCCCTTCACCCCAAAGAGACTTCTTGTGCCCCTTCCCCACTCCCATCCCCAGTCTAGCCCCCAGACAGCCACTAATCTACTCCCTGCCTCTATAAACTGTCTTTTCTGAACATTTCTGGATATGATATGTGATCTTCTACTTTTGTCTTTTTTCTTTGAGCCTATGTTTTGAGGTTTTTATGTTGGTACTTTGTTCCTTTTTATTGCTGACTAATATTGCACTGTATGGATATGCCTCATTTTGTGTGTGCATTCACCAGCTGATGGACAGTTGGATTGTTTCCACTCTCTGACTGTTATGAATAATGCTGCTATGAACATTTGTGTTCCTATTCATGGACCTAGGTTTTCACTTCTCTTGGGTAGATAGCTACAAGTGGAACTGCTGGGTCGTATGTTAACTTTGTGTTTAACTTTTTGAGAAACCGCCAAAGTGTTTTAAGTGACATTTTATGGTGTTTTTTATTTTAAACTTTGAGCTGCATGAGGCCATTTCAATGCATTTTTTAGAGCTCTGGTATTTTGCTGCTTAGAAAATAGCTTCTGAACCAGAATGATCAGTGTAGAAAGCACCATATGTCTGCAGAAACACATTCCAGAGCTGTACATATTTGGCCAGTTTTTTATTACATACATAATATGTGTTCTTTCTGAAAAACTAGATAATATAAATAAGAAAAAAAGAAAAGCCATCGTAAGTCTAACATCCAGAGATACCTGAAGTTATCATTTTATCACATATTCTTCTAGACTTTTATATATTCTTTCCTCCCCTTCCTACACACATGGCAGGGAGGAAAGAAAGATGATACAGTGATAAAGGATGGAATATAAATGTCATGAAAAAAGAATTACAAATGAAAAATAAATTATGAAAAAGTTTTCACTAGTAATCAAAGCAATAAAATTAATCTATCACACTGAAAAGATTTACAAGGTTTTAAAATCCACTGGGATGAAGGAATGGAGGGGCCAGCACTCCCACACATTGCTGGTGAGTGTAAATCGGTTTAGCTTTGCTCAGGGTGTTTTGCCACTATGTATCAACAGTGCGCATTTCCCAACGATTCTAGTTCTAGGAATTTAAGTGGACAAAGCTGAAAAAAATGTTTGTTTGGGAGAAAATATGGAAGGAATCTAGATATCCACCAATGGGAACTGAAAATAAAGTATAATAAATATTCCATATAAACACACAAATACTGCACAGTAATGAAAACTAATGATGTATACTTACTAATATGAAAATATATTTAAAAAAACCAGTTTACATGAAACTATATAGTCCAATCCCACTTTTATTTAAAAAACAATCACTTTTTTTAAAAATTGGAGTATAGTTGATTTACATTGTTGTGAAAAACAATTACTTTTGAGTTTATAAATATAGGGAAAAAAATCTAGAAAAATCTAGGCAAATTCGTTAGTATTAGTAATCTCTGAGTTACAGAATTAAGAGGGATTCTAACATGTATTTTTTATTACATATATGTTACAAGAAGACACTACTTTTATAATAAAGATAAACAATAAAATTACTTACATTTTGATAAAAGTTATTAAATAGCCTGTGTCAGACGTCAGAATATAAAGAGTAGCAGGCTAATCTTTGGCCTAATTAATCAGAGATACAAAAAGTTTGACTATTTGGAGGGTTGGGAGAAGGGCAGAGGCTAAGAAGAGGATTGACGTTGCCCAAGTGGGTACTGTGGGCCAGACGCTCTGTAGCAGCTGCTGGGAGCCAAGAGCACAAGTGTGAAGCAATACAGCATGGTATTTGGATTTGGCTTCCAGCAGCTGCTATACAGAACCGTGTTTTGAAAGATTGTCAAGTCCACATGGCAAATGGCATATTCCAAGCAATTTTATAGAAATGCTGAGAAATGGCTCCCTAAATGTCTGCTGTCTGCCAGGCTCTGTTACATACAATGGATTTATCTACCAACACCAACGTTGCTGGTTGTTACATTATGGGCTTTTTGCTAAAAAGGGACATGGCTAGAGGTTGCCAGCTGTCCCCCTCGCAGCTGAGCAGCTATTAGGTCTGTTAACTTCAGCATCTCCACCTCCATCCTAGCTCTGCTCCACCTTCACCATCAGCAAATCTTCTCCCCACCATCCAGTGCTCTGAAAGCCTAAAAGGAAAAAAGTTTCTCCCCACCAAAATGCCCATTTGCCATTGTGTGGCATGCAGGAATTCTGCATTGTTTTAGGCATGATGATTTGGTTACACTCTCCTATAGCACTTATGCAGGAGATATTATCCTGCAGGTTCATGGGTTCATGCCGGTTCATGGGGCAAGAAACAGAATGTTCAAAACCAAACTGATTTAAGATCTTCACAGACAATGCACAGCCCTGTTAGCAAATGTTTCAGTAACTTATAAGAGTTACAAAAGAGTAGATCATAGGAAAAGAAAGTGTTTATTATTCAGTCAACAAGAGTGTTTTCGCTGGGTGAGTGGCTCCTACATGTCTCAGCCTCCTCTCCTACTAATTCCGGTTGTTAAAGGGTTGACCAGATGTCAAGTGGAATTGGCAAATGTGGTTCCCCTCCCCTTGGGACTGTGACTCTTATCTTAATCATTTTCACTTAAAAGGCTACTATGGGGTTATTTTCATTCCCCTTCCTTTCCTCCTAAAAACACCCCTGTGTTACTAATTTATCTGTGCATACACTGCTGAGGGGACCCACTGTCAGAGGATCCCATTTCATGAACAGTCACTGAACTCTGTTTCTTGTATAGTCTTGGACTTTACTAAACTCAGATAAACTAAGCTCAGATGTGGCTATTTCATCAGAGTTACTTTCGCAAGGATCTTCAGCTTGGGAACAAACATTTAATTAAAATGAATGTTTTTGTTTCTCTTCCAAAATGGTGGTCCCAGCATAGGGATGGGCAAAGCTTCTTGGTTCTTCTTCTCTTGTGGATGTATCTAGAAGGTAATAGAAGGGGCTGTTTGTTCCCCTTTGGAGCCATTCATAGTTTCCGAGTAACACTGCACAATAGTTATCTTAAGAACAGACTTCCTGACATAACTTACATCAGACTTTTCTGATAGCAGTCCTCAACATGTCCTTATTTATTTTCTTTTAGAACATTTTGGGCAGGCAAGGGCCATGAGGCAGAGGTCATGGGTCCTTTTCAGAGCCCTTCCTAGTGTAATGTTCCTTGTACTGATGGTGAAAAGCACACATTGTTATTTTGGTAAGCAAATTACAAATTGAAGATTGCTCGACTGGGGCCAAAGATATAGCCACTGCGGTGGTATGGTAAGAAATGTCTGCACTAAGACCTTGGCCTTTGGGGCTGACAGAGCACATCCGAGAGGGTTAACAGGATCCTTCTGTAACCCCACAGATGCTGATGCAGAGATTGAAGGAGCCCCAGCCTCTCCCTTGGATGTGGTGTCCTTGGATGCCAACAAAGATTATATCATCATCTCTTGGAAACAGCCGGCTGTGGATGGAGGGAGTCCTATTCTGGGATATTTTATTGATAAGTTAGTACTTAGTCTAACTTCAGTTAGAGTGATTTGGCCATAGAGACACATGCTTGATTTCTCCCACCATTTCTAGGTGAAGTGTTTTCTTTACTGGTCTCCTCTCCCTCTTTTCTCTGTGTCTCTGTCTCTGTCTGGTGTGTATGTATATATATATATATATATATGTATATACACATAACTACCTGTTTACCTAAATTCCAAAGATAATCCTTGAATTGTACTACCAACCCAAGTCACTAATTTGGCAAGAATATTATGAATTTGTTCACCTAATAGAGGCCACTTTAGAAATGAAATAGCTGGTATTCAATATGCTTAATGTCCATATTATTAGTATGTCAGTAATTTAAGAATATTAAGTAATTTAAAGAATAGTACTCTAAGAATACTAAGAAAATCTCATTTATATCACAGGATTCAAGTTTGACAAAGAAATAACAAATATCCATAGTATTAAACTGTTTTATTTACAAATCGTTGCTGTTTACATTCTCCAAAACTTAGAGGCTTTATATTTATAGTAAATGGGTCTTACATATGAATTATCCAGTGAGCTTGGCCAATTTAGAAACAAATTTAGATTATTGACCTAAATACATTATTGTCTGACTTAGTTTCTTTTCAGATAGTTGCTCCAATTCTCTTCCATTTTTGAGTAATAAACCCTGACTGTAAAAACCACTAGGGGCAGATAATCTATGCCGCTGTAGTATGACAGGTTTGTACCAAGGTGGATTAAACTTAATATTTATAGCAGTAAGTAAGTATATGCCTACTGGGCTCAGTACCAACCAGAGAAATATTTATAATAGATTATACTTTATTTAACTGTACACTAAATGTTTCCAAGTTATTTCATCATTGAATAATGATGAACTGTGAAGTTTTAGATATATTCTTTAAAAAAAATATGCATCTGTATTTTAATTAAAAACATAACTATCTACCTTTGTAAAAGTATCCCTCTATGTAAATGCACCATTTTTTACAAATCTAGTAAGATTCTTTTTTTTTTTGAATTTTATTTTATTTATTTTTTATACAGCAGCTTCTTATTAGTTCTCTATTTTGTACATATTAGTGTATATATGTCAATCCCAATCTCCCAATTCATCCCAACACCACCACCCACCCTGCCATTTTCCCCCTTTGGTGTCCATATGTTTGTTCTCTGCGTCTGTGTCTCTATTTATGCCCTGCAAACTGATTCATCTGTACCATTTTTCTAGGTTCCACATATATGCGTTAATATACGGTATTTGTTTTTCCCTTTCTGACTTACTTCACTCTGTATGACAGTCTCTAGATCCATCCACGTCTCTACAAATTTCGTTCCTTTTTATGGCTGAGTAATATTCCAATGTATATATGTACCACATCTTCTTTATTCATTCGTCTGTCGATGGGCATTTAGGTTGCTTCCATGACCTGGCTATTGTAAATAGGGTTACAGTGAACATTGGGGTGCATGTGTCTTTTTGAATTATGGTATTCTCTGGGTATACGCCCAGTAGTGGGATTGCTGGGTCATAGGATAATGATATTTTTCGTTTTTTAAGGAACCTCCATACTGTTCTCCATAGTGGCTGTATCAATTTACATTCCCACCAACAGCACAAAAGGGTTCCCTTTTCTCCACACCCTCTCCAGCATTTGTTATTTGTAGAGTTTCTGATGATGCCCATTCTAACTGGTGTGAGGTGATACCTCATTGTAGTTTTGATATGCATTTCTCTAATAATTAGTGATGTTGAACAGCTTTTCTTGTGCTTCTTGGCCATCTGTATGTCTACTTTGGAGAAATGTCTGTTTAGGACTTCTGCCCGTTTTTTGATTGGGTTGTTTGTTTTTTTAATATTGAGCTGCATGAGCTGTTTATAGATTTTGGAGATTAACCCTTTGTCCGTTGATTCGTTTGCAAATATTTTCTCCCATTCTGAGGGTTGTCTTTTTGTCTTGTTTGTAGTTTCCTTTGCTTTGCAGAAGCTTTTAAGTTTCATTAGGTCCCATTTGTTTATTTTTGTTTTTATTTCCATTACTCTAGGAGATGGATCAAAAAGATCTTACTGTGATTTATGTCAAAGAGTGTTCTTCCTATGTTTTCCTCTAAGAGTTTTATAGTGTCTGGTCTTACATTTAGGTCTCTAATACATTTTGAGTTTATTTTTGTGTATGGTGTTAGGGAGTGTTCTAATTTCATTCTTATACATGTAGCTGTCCAGTTTTCCCAGCACCACTTACTGAAGAGACTGTCTTTTCTCCATTGTGTATCCTTGCCTCCTTTGTCATAGATTAGTTGACCATAGGTGCATGGGTTTATCTCTGGGCTTTCTATCCTGTTCCATTGATCTATATTTCTGTTTTTGTGCCAGTACCATATTATCTTGATTACTGTAGCTTTGTGGTATAGTCTGAAGTCAGGGAGTCTGATTCCTCCAGCTCTGTTTTTTTCTGTTTTGTCCATTACTCTCTCTCCCTTAGGTGTGAGGTGGGCACAGACAGCTGGTCTCAGTGCAATGACACACCTGTGAAGTTTGCTCGTTTCCCAGTCACTGGATTGATAGAAGGTCGTTCTTACATATTCCGAGTTCGTGCTGTGAACAAAACTGGAATAGGTCTCCCCTCTCGTGTTTCCGAGCCTGTGGCTGCTCTGGATCCAGCTGAGAAAGCTAGACTTAAAAGTAAGCATTTTTCATTTTTCAGGATCATCTTGAATTTTTTTTATATGCCTGAAATAGATCCTATTGCAAGGTTATTTCTCCACCCTCCACTAGAGGGAGAAAAGAATAAGAAATCCTTTACTGATCAGAAAAATACAGGGGAAAAAAAGACAAAAACAAAAAAGTATTTGTTTTTTGACTCATCTGTTCACTAAGGGCTTATTTTATGTTATTTTTATTTGATTCAGAAGAGTTTGCCTTATTTGACTGAGTTACAGGCATTGTGTTTGAAATGAAATATGAAAACCAAAAGGCTGGTGAGCTTTTTTTTTTCTTTCATTTTATTAGCACAGTTCAAATATACTTTTCTTTCTGGTTAATTTTCTTAAAATTGTAAGGTAGTTTTCTTAATCTTGAATTTATCCCTTAGAGCATTAATACTCAACACTGTGAATTTCTTTATGTCAAAGGAAAAACACATTTACGACACATCGTGTCTGATCTGTACTCGGGTTTCTGTGTTAGAGTCAAAAATAATCTTTTCATATATTTAGCCTCCAAGTCTCAATGTCAAAATTGTGGTACATGGGGCTTCCCTGGTGGCGCAGTGGTTGAGAATCTGCCTGCTAATGCAGGGGACACGGGTTCGAGCCCTGGTCTGGGAAGATCCCACATGCCGCGGAGCAACTAGGCCCGTGAGCCACAACTACTGAGCCTGCGCGTCTGGAGCCTGTGCTCTGCAACAAAGAGGCCGCGATAGTGAGAGGCCCGCGCACCACGATGAAGAGTGGCCCCCGCTTGCCACAACTAGAGAAAGCCCTCACACAGAAACGAAGACCCAACACAGTAAAAATAAATAAAATAAATTAATAAACTCCTACTCCCAACATCTTCTTTAAAAAAAAAAATTGTGGTATATGAATTATGCTCTGCATTTGTTTCATAGGAACCAATACAGCATCCTTAATAACAGGGACCTTAAAATGGCATTAAAAGAATTGTTGGAATTTCACATTTCAGTCTATACCAGATTTCTCAACCTTGGCCCTATTAACATTTTAGGCCAGGTAATTCTATGTTGTAGGGGGCTGTCCTGTGCATTGTAAGATGTTTAGCAGCATCCCTGGCCTCTACTCGCTAGATGCCTATGGTCCCCCCACCCCCTCCTCCCCCCTCCCCCCAACCGCCATCATGACAATCAAAATTGTCTCCAGACATTATCACATGTCCCTGGGGGGCAAAATCACTCTAGTTGAAGACTACTGGTCTATGCCATTTATAACATTTTCAGTGTTATTCTTGACCTTAAGTACATGTAGTGGCATCATAAAAATCTAAGTAAAATAATGTCACCTTCTCTCTGGAGACTTTTCTAATCAGCCTCCCTGATTACTCTCCAATCACTTTTCACCCACTGTCCAACTTCTCTCCCTCTTTCCTAATTCCGTCTCATACTTTCATTTACTCCTCTTTAATAAATTTCAATGAAAGTAAGATTTGTTGGGATTGAAAATAAATTATCTTGCTTATCACCTTTCTGTTTTTGCACACAGTCTGGTGAAAAGTCCCTCACTTGAAGCAGGAGTTGAATCATTCTCTCTTTCTGTTGTCTTTCTGATATCACAGAAATGAATTTCCTCTTTAACTTTATACTGCCTGTCTCACTCATTTTCCTTACTCGGGATCTAAACTGCTTTCCTTTGTAAATAACACTTTCAAAATTAATGGAAAGAAATCTCTTTCGTTGAGCTTTACTGCAGGATCAGCGCCCCTCTCCCCTTTCATCTTCATTATGACATAAATAACAGCCCGGCTTACAATTGTTCCTGAAAGGTTTCTCCCAATTAAATGCTATCTCTCAAGAAGGGTGAGAGAGCCTATGTGTTTCAGGAGATACATGGGGAACAGTGTATGAACCCAGGCTGTTTACCTCGCCTGTGTCAGTACAGTTCCGGAAACGTGGAATCTAGCAGATTGTGAGTTGTTTGAGGACAGAGACTATGCCCCCTCTCCCCAAAATACCATGTGCGTGCTTGATAAGACTAAGAAGGTACATAAGTAAACTAGTAACAAACCCATTTGGGACTAATCTGGCCAGTTTACCAATTTCTCAGTGCAGCTGAACTGCATTTGTGAATGTTTCTGATTTTTGTATTTATCTCTGTCAGGTCGCCCTTCAGCACCCTGGACTGGACAGATCATTGTCACTGAGGAGGAACCGACAGGTAAAAACCACGTTTTCCCCAGATAGTATTGCCAGTGCTCTGCTATGCAGTTTGGCTTTTGTTATGAGGCTACAGTGTATATATATATATATTTTTTTTTTTACAGTGTATATTATTTAAGTGTTTTGGAAAGAACATTCTGAAATATTTGGAGATCATGAAGTAACTTATGTTGTCAGAGAATTGCTTTTTTTTTAAAGCTTAATTGAGGTATAATGACATACACTAAACTGCATGTCTGTAAAATGAGCAATGTGATAAATTTTACATGTGCAAACACCTGTGAAACCATCACCGTGATCAAAATAATGAACATATACATCACCCCTAAATTTCCTCATACCCCTCTGTAATACCTCCCTCCTGCCCCTTCCTCATCTCCAGGCCATCACTGACATGCTTTCTGTCACTATCGTTTGTGTTGTCCACAATTTTAGATCAATGGAATCATACTCATTTTTGTCTGGTTTCTTTCACTCAGCATAATTATTCTGAGATTTATCCATATTGATGCATGTATCAGTTTATTCCAACTTACTTATACCTTCACCATTGAAACCTTCTATGAACCTCCTTGTTAAGTGTTTTTGTGGACATACACTTTCATTTCTCTTGGATAAATACCCAGGGTTTGAATGGATAGGTCATCTAATAGATGTTTGTTTAATTTTTAAAGAAATTGCCAACTGTTTTCCAAAATGGTTGTACCATTTTACATTCCCATCTGCAGTAGTCCAGAGTTTCAGCTGCTCCACACTGTAACCAGTTCGTGGTACGGTCAGTCTTTTTAATTTTAGCCTTTCTAATTGGTGCATAGTGGTGTTTTGTACCATGGTGGTATTTCATAGTAGGTGTATAGTGGTCTTAATTTGCACTTCCCTAATACTGTTGAGCACCTTTTCATGTGCTTATTTGCCATTTTTGCATCATATTTGACATCTTTGTCAAATCCAAGTTCATTCAGATATTCTCCCTTTTTTTTTCTAGGCATGTTATAGCATTAGCTCTTATATTTCAATCTATGATCCATTTCAAGTTAATTATTTCTATATTGTGTGGATTAAGGGTCTAAGTTATTATTATTATTTTGCATATGGCTTTCCAGTTATTTCAGCAATATCTGTTGAAAAGATTATTTTCTTCCCATTGAATTGCCTTGGCACCATTGTCCAAATCAATTGATTGTATATTTGTGGATCTATTTCTGGAATCTTTATTGGTCAATTTTATTTTCTCTACACCAGTACCACACTGTCTTGATTACTGTAGCTTTTATAAGCTTCATGTTTTTTTTAAAGCTTCACAGTTTTGCAATCAGGTAGTATAAGTCCTCTAATCTTTTTTTTTTCCCCACAGTTGTTTTGGCTGTTCTAAGTCTTTGCATTTCCATGTAAAATTTAAAATCAGCTTATCAATTTCTAAAAAAAAAAAAAAAAAAAAAAAACCCTGCTGGGATTTCATTTGAGTCTTTTATTCTTCGTGATTTTCTATCTACTCTTTCTATCAATTATTTAATTATTTTATTTTATTTATTTATTTTTGGCTGCGTCGGGTCTTCGTTGCTACGCAGGCTTTCTCTAGTTGTGGCCAGCGGAGGCTACTCTTCGTTGTGGTGCGTGGGTTCCTCATTGCGGTGACTTCTCTTGTTGCAGAGCATGGTCTCTAGGCATGCGGGCTTCAGTAGTTGTGGCTCGCAGGCTCTAGAGTGCAGGCTCAGTAGTTGTGGTGCACGGGCTTAGTTGCTCCGCGGCATGTGGGATCTTCCCGGACCAGGGCTTGAACCTGTGTACCCTGCTTTGGCAGGCAGATTCTTAACCACTGTACCACCAGGGAAGCCCCTCTATCAATTATTGTTAAAATAGTGGTGACATCTCCAACTAAATGGTGGATTTAAATGCTGCTTGTAGTTTTATCAGGTTTGGTTTCATGTGTTTTGAAGCTCTGTTATTAGATGCATAAACATTTTTATTGTTATATCCTCTTATGCACTGACCACTTTAATATTAGGAAGTGACTCCTTTTATCCACGGTAATACATTTTTGCTTGGAAATCTGTTTTGTCTGATATGAATATAATGACCCCAGCTTTCTTTTGATTAGTGTTAGCATGACATATGATTTCCTTCCTTTTACTTTTAACCTATGTGTCTTTGTATTTAAATCATGTTTCTTGTAGGCAGCATATAGTTGGGCCTTGCCTTTTTATGCAATCTGGTAATCTTACCTTTTAATTGGGGCGTTTGAGCTATTTACATTTCATGTGATTATTGATATGGCTGCATTTAAATCTACCATCTTGCTAGTTGTTTTCTATCCGTTCCATCTATTTGTTTGCTTTCTTTTCCCTCTTTCTACATTCTTTAGGATTAAATATCTTTTGTTATTCCATTTTATCTATGTTATCTAATTAGCTATAATTATGTTTTTCTTTTATAGTAGTTTGGAATTTATAATATACATCATATGACAATGTACCTTCAAGTAATATTATCCTACTTCACATGTAGTATAAGAACTTACAGCAGTATCATTCCATTTACCCCTCCTAGCCATGGTGGTGTTGTTATGTATTTTATTTGTTTATATATTATAAACTCTATGATACGATGTTATTATTTTGGTTCAAACAGTCACAAAGCTTTCAAAGAAATTTTAAAAGTACGAAGAAAGTTTTCAGTATTCACTCACATTTTTACCATTTCTGTTGCTCTTTATTTCTTTGTGTAGATGTGGATTTCCATCTGATGTGATTTTCCTTCCACCTAAGGCATTTCCTTTTTTTTTTTTTTAGGCATTTCCTTTAATATTTCTTGTAGTGCAATCCTGCTGGTTATGAATTATTTTATTATTTGTATGTTTGCGAGAGTCTGTATTTTGTCTTCATTTTTGGACTGTATCCACCAGCTATAGAATTCTAGGTTGACAGTCTTTCTTTAGAGGTTGGTCCATTGTAATATAGGTCTGCACTGTAAGAATGACTGCTATCATTTTTTTTCCTGCCATTCTTATTTGTGTTTTTCTGTATGTAATGTATTTTTTTCCCATGTCTGCTTTTAAGATATTCCCTTTATCACTGGCTTTAGAAATTTGATTATGATGTGCACTTGTGTAGTTTCCTTCATATCTTGTGCTTGGCGTTTGCAAGTTCCTTGAATCTGTGCATTTATGGTTTTCATCAGATTTGGAAAATTTTTTTCACATTATTTCTTTAAATATTTTTTTCTATACTCCCCTCTCTCTTCTCTTCTTCAGGAACTCCAATTACATGCCTCTTGAAACCAAAGCTCAGTGATGCTGTGCTTATTTTTCCTGTCAGTCTTTTTTTCTTTCCATGTTTCATTTCTTTCTGTGTTACTTTCTACTGCTATGTCATTAATTTTATTATTCTTCTCCTCTTTAGCCTCTAACCTATTGTGAATTCCAGGCAATGTATTCTTTATAAAAGACTTTGTAGTTTTCATCTTAGAAATTAATTTGTATTATTTTTATATTTTCCATGTCTTTAATTATCATCTTTAATCTTTAGCCTCTTGAACATATGGAATACATTTATAATAACCATCTTTATGTCCTTGTTTACTAGTTCTATCATTTGTGACATTTCTGGTTTTGTATCATTGATTGATATTTCTCCTCATCATGGGTTGTATTTTCTTGCTTCTTTGCATACTTGGTGATTTTTTTTTTTTTTTTTTTTTTTGCCTCATGGCTGTTGGGATCTTAGTTCCCTGACCAGGGATTGAACCCAGGCCCTCAGCAGTGAGAACACTAACCAATGGACCACCAGGGAATTCCCTGGTCATTTTTTTTTTTAACATCTTTATTGGAGTATAATTGCTTTACAATGGTGTGTTAGTTTCTGCTTTATAACAAAGTGAATCAGTTATACATACACATATGTTCCCATATCTCTTCCCTCTTGCGTCTCCCTCCCTCCCACCCTCCCTATTCCACCCATCTAGGTGGTCACAAAGCACCGAGCTGATCTCTCTGTGCTATGCGGCTGCTTCCCACTAGCTAGCTATTTTACGTTTGGTAGTGTATATATGTCCATGCCACTCTCTCTCTTTGTCACAGCTTACCCTTCCCCCTCCCCATATCCTCAAGTCCATTCTCTAGTAGGTCTGTGTCTTTATTCCTGTCTTACCCCTAGGTTCTTCATGACATTTTTTTTTCTTAAATTCCATATATATGTGTTAGCATATGGTATTTGTCTTTTTCTTTCTGACTTACTTCACTCTGTATGACAGACTCTAGGTCCATCCACCTCATTACAAATAGCTCAATTTCATTTCTTTTTATCGCTGAGTAATATTCCATTGTATATATGTGCCACATCTTCTTTATCCATTCATCTGATGATGGACACTTAGGTTGTTTCCATCTCCTGGCTATTGTAAATAGAGCTGCAATGAACATATTGGTACATGACTCTTTTTGAATTATGGTTTTCTCAGGGTATATGCCCAGTAGTGGGATTGCTGGGTCATATGGTAGTTCTATTTTTAGTTTTTTAAGGAACCTCCATTCTGTTCTCCATAGTGGCTGTACCAATTCACATTTCCACCAGCAGTGCAAGAGTGTTCCCTTTTCTCAACACCCTCTCCAGCATTTATTATTTCTAGATTTTTTTTTTTGCCATGGCTCACAGGCCCAGCCGCTCCGCGGCATGTGGGATCTTCCCAGACCGGGGCACGAACCTGTGTCCCCTGCATCGGCAGGCGGACTCTCAACCACTGCGCCACCAGGGAAGGCCCGTGTTTCTAGATTTTTTGATTATGGCCATTCTGACTGGTATGAGATGATATCTCATTGTAGTTTTGATTTGCATTTCTCTAATGATTAATGATGTTGAGCATTCTTTCATGTGTTTGTTGGCAGTCTGTATATCTTCTTTGGAGAAATGTCTGTTTAGGTCTTCTGCCCATTTTTGGATTGGGTTGTTTGTTTTTTTGTTATTGAGCTGCATGAGCTGCTTGTAAATTTTGTAGAGTAATCCT